GGTGGGGCTGCAGGCTGGTGTCCTTGGGCTTGCGTTGTGCTGCTGGGGCAATCTCTGGCAGCTGTGAGGCTCAGCCCGTGCCTGGGGGCGGCCTGGGACAGCACCGGCTCTCTGAGTTTCCGGCCGTTGCCTTGTGAGGTTTGAAGGCCAGACGCGAGGCAACGAAACGCAGAACCCCATCAGCTCATTTCTCGCAAACTCTTGGATCTCTTCCCAGCTCATCTTACGGCGGCATCAAAGCAAAAGCTTAGCGGTGTGTGCGGGGAGGTACGTAGAAACGTGAAATATTTACCATTTAATGCACAAATATATGTGTGTGTACGCATAGGGTGAGGAGAATCGACTGGTTGGTTGTCGTTAAAGTAATGTTTTATTTAATTAAAAGTGTGTAGAGGTTTTCTTTTCTGGAGATAATGCTCTTTGAAGTTAAAATAGTCTCCGAGTCCTCTGCAGCCTAGTAAAACAACTCGAGTTAAAATGGCTGTAAAGAGTGTATGTGTTCTGTTACTGTTTTCAAAAGAGCCAGCTGTTAAAAGAGGAATTAGCTAACAACCTAGGGTAAAGCTTTGGCTATTGTAATGTTTTTCTTTTTTCCAACATACTTTTTATTATGACCAAAACTTTATTTAAATGTATCCAGTTAAAAAAACCTAATAAAATGCATTAAAAGTTGGAGAATTTCTGTTTCTTGTCCTCACTGATCTTGTTTTTTCTCATACATTGCCGAAGATTGCTTTAAAATTTATGAGGAAGTTGCATGTACTTTTTTATTGTCTAAGTGTGTTTTTAATGTTTTGAATGTTGGTTTCATATATATGTTATTCAGATGCTGCTTCTCCTGAAGTAAACCAACAAAATCCTGTTTTCCCTTCATCCCTTTTTATTGAACCATGTTAGTGTGGATCTTGCAAATACAGTAGGGGTTGTTTAAACACATAAAATTAATTTTTTGTCCTGGTTGAAAGTATGAATTCATTGGTATTGAGCTGTATAACATTCTGCACAGTCCTTTACATGTGTCATGTCTAGGCTGAATTTCATATTTTTTTCTTATTTATTTTGAATTATTTGTAAAACATTATTGTTTGTTTGTATTTCTCTACTGCAGTTTACTTGAAAGGTAGATTATACTGTGGTGTTAGGAACAGCTGTGCTTCATCTGATCAGGTGGATTGTTAGGTGAATTGTTGAAAGCTGGATTCAGTTTCTATGTCTGATTAGGATTGCCTTCTGTCTGCAGAACAGCTTGTTGGTCTATTACAGTAAAACAGCTGGATACGGTTCTGGATGAAATCGTGATTAGTGAAAGAGATTCTGAAAGCAAGCCTTTGACTACATTAGGTTCCTGATTTAACTGCTGTATCTGGAAGCTACCCAGTGATCTTTGTCTTAAAATTGGTTTAAGAATAACTTTGGACTCAATGCAACAAAACTACTTTTTTATTTTATGTTACCTATTTTAGAGAAAAAATTTTTTTTTTCCTTATGTAAGTCAGAAATTTATTCTTTTTTACATTCTTGCTGATCTCGAGTACGTTTCTGTATTCACTGAAGGTAGAATCTTTCCTGTTCTTCATGCTGTTAGTAGAGTTAGTTACCATGTTTCCTAGGAAGCTTTGTTAGATTCTGAGTTATGGAAAACGCTGCTTTTCTGCTTTTTTTTCTGTGTCTTTCTAAGTGGACTTTGTACAGTTTAAGTGTGGTTTACATTGAATCTTTCCTGTTCTTCATGCTGTTAGTAGAGTTAGTTACCATGTTTCCTAGGAAGCTTTGTTAGATTCTGAGTTATGGAAAACGCTGCTTTTCTGCTTTTTTTTCTGTGTCTAAGTGGACTTTGTACAGTTTAAATGTGATTTACATTGATGATAGAGTACTGTAGTATTAAGAGCAGAGTTTTACTCCAATCCTAATTCTGTTTTCAAGTTGGTGACAGAATTCCTGTCAAATTTGGTTGCTGAGGATCAAGGTTTATACGCTAGTTTGATCTTCTATAGGAAACGGAAGTGTTTGATGTTCTAGAATTCTTTATGGAGGTATAAATCATTATAGTCATCAAAGTTATCTGGGATATTTAAAAATTGTATGTACCAATTCTTCAGTTTTCAAAAGTCATAAAATATAACTGTCTCATTTTAAATAGAGGGGTAGGAGAGACACAATTGCCTAATGTTATAATTGCATTTCATAAATTAGTTCCTTGGATAAAAATAATTGATTTTGATTTTTTTTTTTAATTTGGCCTAAGAAATATACTTATTTTGTTTTATCTAGTAACATTGATTGTGAGAAATGGACAACAGTATTCTTCACGTTTATGAAGATGAAATCCAGTCGCTGGAAGAAGAAATTAAACTATTGGCTGAAAAGTATGAAGAAAGCCAACAAGAATCCACTTTTTTTTCTGATGAGGAGATATTAATGTCAATGTATGCCTTTTTTTCACATATTGGGTTAATAGTGTTTCTCTGTCAAAATTGTTTAGGATAAACTTTTGCATTAAGACTTATGTTATTTTTGCAGTGCTGATCTTGTTTAGGATGTGGGGTATATATGGTAAAAGATTACAAATAATAAAGAGTTGATCTCTTTTAGTGCCTTCTGTTAGTTTGTGGGTTTTTTTTGTTAGGGTTTTGTTTGCCTTTTTTTTGTAAAAAAAAGCAGTCACAGGGGTCTGAGCACAATATCAGGTCTGTTAATGCGCAGGCCCTGCAAAGCTGTTGACTGCAAAGGCAGCGTTTTCCACTATGCACTGTGAAACAGTTCAGTGCACATTTACTTAAAAAGATGAGAACTGGGGACATGTACAGGTATGACTAGTTATATGCTGATGAAGTGCTGTGTTAGGGCTTTTTGTTTCTATTATTTAACTGATATTCTGTAGTAAACATACACTGCATAGATAAAATAAGTCATTTAGATGAGTGAAGGCATCACAACTCATTTTTGTTGTACATTCCTCAAAATGGATACTAATATCTCAAGACTTACGATAAAGGCTATGTCTACCTGGCGGTGGACATACAGTATTTATGTAAGTTAGAATAGTTTACTGTTCCTAGTAATATGGTCCAACTGAAATTCGACTCATTGAAAACTGATCTTGATCTGAAAATCATCAGATAATGTTACAAATGCCTTTTGCTGTACATATGTTCTTATGTCTTGGTCTTTTGCCCTTTTGATTTTTTTTTTTTTCTCTTTCAATTCTAGAAAATCATTCCAAAGAGAATTTCAGGGAGAATCTAAGGGACATGAATGTCTATCAGATCTGAAAGTTCAGCTTGAAAGTCTACAAAGAGATCTCTCATTTTTAATGAAATTTACTGGTATTCAGTTCACAAGTCATTCCAAGAAAACAGTGGAAAAAAGTAAGCATTTTTATGCTCTTTATTGGTGCTATACTGAACATACTGTTTCAGTTCATTGCAGTTGCAAATGCATGTTGTAATTCTACTTTCAGTATTAGCAGAAAGACAATTATTTTGAGATACGATAGAATTTTCTTTATTGATAAAATAGTTTCTGAGGAAATGTAGTATTTTTCATAGTGGGAAAGTGAAAGACTAGTGTGGAGTTAGTTGTGAGGTTTTTTTTTCTTTACATGTTTAACTTCATTATTTATGTGATGGTTCATATCACTTGGTACTTTAAATATGACTAATTGAAGAAATGCAATAACTGTTGAATAGAATTATAATCAAGTATTTTGTTAACTTTATTTTGTAACAGCTAGAAACAGAACAGTGCAGAAGCACAGATTATCAGGGAACTGCCACTCCCTGTCTTTTCAGTTGGAATTCCATCTTCTTGAAATGCAGGTAAGGATCAATGTACATTTAAAAACACCCAAGCAAACCCCAGGCAAAGAAAACTTCAAATGGACAACTGTCAATACTTCCTTTTCCAGATGAAACCTTCAACTGGGATTTTGTAATTTTGATTGCCTGAGTCTTCTTAATCTAAACCTCAGTGGGTTGTTTTCACTCTGAGAGATGGATCCAACTTTTGAATTCCATGCCCGCCCAAGCAAAATAGTTCTGAAGGTCTTAGTCTTAATCAGGTCTGAAGCACTTAGTCATGTAGTTCTTGTCTTGTTCTCCTGTAGTCAGATATCTTGTTCTGGAGACTGGAAAATTCTGAACCTTGCTTCTCTTGAGGGAACTGAAGAAAAGCTAAAACACTACAAACTTGAATAATTCTGTGTTTGTTTTCTTTTATTTTTTACTTTGGTTATGTTTCTATTTGCTTGGCTAGTGTGACTAGCCATTACATTGTGGGACTGCACAGAAATTTAAAAAAAATAATTTATTCAAAGGGTACAGCCAGTAAAGCAGCTTGAGCTGGGAGCCTCCAGAGAGGGACCCTGAACACAGAAACTGCTGGGCAATTATACCCTTACAGTCTATGCACCTGCCTCTCACGCACTCTTCACGTGCCCTTTGGTATAATGGCAATTTCTGGTCTGGGGTCTTCTGATACCTTGTTGGATTCTCTCTGTGTCTCCAGGCAGCCTGTTAATAGTTCTTATCTTGTTGAGTTGCACCTGCTGCTGCGGTTGTAGCCTCCTTCTAGTCTGTGTTTCTTCAGCAGGGCATGGGAAACTGAAATACTCCTAGACTGAGGATAAGCACAATTTAGCAATAACCAAAACATCATTGTGTTATCTATGTTATTCTCACACTAAAAAAAACACCCAAACCACAGCACTGTACCAGCTACTAAGAAGAAAATTAAGTCCAGCTCAGCTAAAAGCATGCCTAGGTGAAGAGTTCACAGCTTGTGGCCTAGGGCTTCAGCAAATCTTGCTACTCATGCTAAGTAATGCTAGAATGAAAGGTATACTAAATCACACAACATTATGCACACACCATTATGCTGTTACCCCTGCATCCTGATGCTAAATGATTAATGCATTCTATTTCAAACTTATTTATTTCAGCCAAACTGTTAAGTGTTGTAGCAGATTGAACCTGGTAGTACTAAAAACTCCAAAGATGTCTTTCTTAATCGTAAGAAAAGCCATATTATGAGTTTAGAGAATGAGTATTTAGATCGTCACATGTGTATTGCATAATTTGAAACTACAGGAGTTCAGCTGTACGAGGTTATTCTGCAACCTCTTAAATCCATGTGTGACTTTAAACTTGTGGTCCCAGTGATATAATTTTACTGTTTACTTGTGTAAAACTGCATTTAGCTTTGAGCATGGAAATAACCTGCATCAGTCATGCGACTTGGTTAGATTAATTTTTTTTCTCACCTGTATGCTCCTGCAAAATGATGACATCTTTTAGTGTCAATGGAGCTCGGAGGAGGAAGTGGGTGTTTTGTTTATAGCTGCATTGCTGAGCCTTAAAGCCGGCACACCACTAGCTGGCAGCACTTGTCTGCATAATACCTAGAACGTGCTGCTTCAGCCTCAGGAAATGCACTAGAGTTAAGCGAGACATGCAATACCAAGTGTATATATTAAAACAAACAAACAAAAAACCCACTTAAGTTGAAAAAAATATAATCTTGAGTAACTTTTTTGCATGAACTAATTTTTTTTTTAATAAAAGTGCATTACACCTGTAACTTACAATTTAATATGCAATGCAGACAATTTACTTCATATTGATGAAGTTTGAAGTGCCAATATTTAATGCATTTGTATTGTGTCGGTTGTGGACATGTTGCGGAAAATGGTAAATTAGTTAAGCAGACACCAATGAAGAGTAGTTTTTAATTACACCATCATATGCAGGTTTTGTGTTTTGTTTTTAGTGTTAACCTACTCAGGTCAAGAAATACACTCACTGTTTCAAATACAGACTAATTTCAGTTCCTTTACTCAGTTTTTGTGATTGTATATGAACTTGACTGTTATTAAAGTTTTATGCATTTAATTAAATGTTAATGTGTTTTAGCTGTTGTACGAATCATAATGTAACAGTTTGGTTAGAGTTGTAAAATAGAACTGTTGTGTACAGTTTTATATCTTAATTTTGTTAGAACTGTGTAAATAAAAAGATGTCAAGACAATTTAATAGTTCAAAAATTCCAGCTTAAGGATTGTATTTTTAAGACACAGTTTTGTAATTTATGTGATTGAAAAATTACTCTCTTCTATTTCTTTATAGTGAAAAAGCATATCTTATGTCTAGATTGTTAATCATTCCATTTAGACATTTCAGCTGTTCTAGTTGGCTGTTTCTGTGGTGTAAAGGTAGTGGCATGTTGTCTTGGTTTTGCCACGAACTTTGTGTGCTGTGCAGGTCATCCTGCGGTGAGGTCAGCAGGTCCCTGTGGATGCAGGAGTCGGCCTCTGTAGCCCTCAGGGAAGTTGTGACTTCAGACCAGACTAAGACCTGGAAACTTAAAGCTTTAACTTTGTTATGCCTCCAGCTTCTTGTGTATAGAAATGGAGAAGCCTGTTTTCTAAGATATGGCATTAACGGTTGTATTCAAAGTAACCTGTACTGGGATCAGCATGGGCAAGGCAGTGTAAAGTTGCAACTAGTTTCACCCATCTTGAGAAATAAAAGACAAAAGAGACAACAGCTGTTTTGAGGAAGTGCTTAGCAGGTAACAAATACATTGTTATGCAGCAGAAGACAAAGAATAATTATTTTCGCACCATTAACTCTAGCTGTTTAATCTATTAGTTACAATACAGTTAACTCAGCTCCATAGTGCCTTAAATCAAACCTGTTAATACACAGTAACAAGTTGTTTTTGTAATTATCTCTAATTTGGTCTTAAAATGTTAAATGTCATTCATGTTAAAAGCTGTATTCCAGGATACAGTTGTACAAAGATGGGTAGGCAGGTCTGAGTTCACCCTTTGAATGGTTGAGATGATGTCTATATTAGTGGAGCATTGGTCACTCACTGCCTGACATATTCTGCATTTTAACTGGTTCTTTAGTTTTGGCACAGTGTCAGACTAGGGTATAGTTTCTATTCCCAAGCTGACTAGTGTTTTGCCAGCATTGAGTGCAAGCAAAGAAGCTCCCAGCTGTTCACTACTGTGCATAGGTGGATGTTAACAAAGGTCAAAATGTGAATGAAGAAAACAGGTGAATGTAAAAGCCTTTGTGTGATATAGTTTTTTCTTTTACTGTCCTTGGGTATTAGGAGGGGACATCTAACAATTGTTTTGACAAATTTTCAAGCTAAGTCTAAAACACTTGGGAAAGCAGTCCTTCAAATAAGAGTTGCTTTCTTCTCAAGAGCTTTCCTTTTAAATCTTTTTATTTGACTCTAAGATGGCATCTTGACATATATTAGTAAACCACTTATTGGAAAACCAGTTTCCTTTGAAGGTAGTGTGTTAGCTTGTGATTACTAGCAGCTTCTCTACAACTCCATGCACAGGTTGAACCTTTTGCCCTAAATTTAAAATTACTTTTTCTGGTTGTTTTACATACTCAATGCACTACACTTTGCAGTGTCTTGGTTTGCTTTTTCCATCGTTACTGATGACAGTGTTAGCAGTACTTCTGTCCAACCAGCACTAGGGATTGTTTTAATTTAGGGTGACATTGGTATGGTTTTCAGATGAAACCTTATATCTGAGTTTTCTGGTATGTGTGGCAGCTAGGGGTTGTGTTGGAAAATTAGAAGAAACTTAAGGAAGTGGAAGTGATGTGAAAGGATGTAGATGAGCCTTTTATTTATAAGTCTTTGTTTATACATATATATTCTCTATTCTGACTGGTTCAGGTATTATTCAAAAATATACTGTTGAATGGATAACACTGATACTGTTGAAATTAAAGAAAATGTCCACACATATAAGCTGTAGTTTTAAAAAAAGTTATTTTAAGGATTATATTAATTAGCAGAGCATTTCCATATATTTTTGTCTATTTTATATGCAAACAGATACTTTTATTTTTTTTTCTCCTTGCTAGAGAAATTTCTAAAACATTGCCTTGTTACTTGTCCAATCTAGAACAAAGAGAACGTGACCGCTGTTATTACTGATCTCAGCATTGTAATGGAATCTGGAGAAGATTCAGATGTGAGCAAGTTTGTGTCAAGGTAATGTGGACTGTTTTATTTAAGGAAAGTTATTGTGTGGGATATCTGATACTAAATGCAATACTGAGTTTTCATGTAAATTGCTGGCAGTCAGTTTCTTTTTTTAGTAAATGTACTATTAGCCCAACCTAAACACTTCTGACCCCTTGTCTGTATCCTTTTGGAGAAAAGATTAAATGTATATGACTCTCAAGGCCTGAAAGGACCATTACAAATTTGTGTTAAACAGAGACAAAGTTTGAATTATATTGTGTTTTAGCTGTTCAAAATCATCAGCGAAAGATACAACAAGGTAATCTCAGCTGTTATGTTTTAATTTGTGTTCACTGTCATTCAGATGAGACAGGGAACATAAGTTTGCAGATATGCAATGTAGGTGAGTAAAGCGTACATCCAGAACCCCCCTCTAGGATCTACCGGTTTCTAATTCTCTGCTCACCACTCCATTTCTCTTTGCATCAGAATTTCTTTCACTGGTATTTAAAAATAGAATATAGTTTAAAAACCTAGAATAGTGTATTTGTGCAATGGCTTAAGAGAATGTACATACTAAAGCATATTACTGAATGCTACTTTTTGATTATTTTCTGGAGGATGTCAACTTCTTGGGTACACAGGATAAATAATGGTCAAATTATTTGTCTGTGGTGTTCCACTGTGAAATCTGCTAGCAATTATTCTGAGAAAAAAATCTATTATTTATTAATTATTATTGGGTAGTTGACTTAATCCTGTTCTTTAAGTTATTCCTTTTGTTTTGTATTGTTCTTTAGACTTGGAGAGGTAAGGCAGATGGATGGGTGAAAAGAAAGGTCCATTGAGTTACCTCAGGCTTCATTAGTCTGTACTGAGAGCTGGCTTTTGTGTTTAGAGTCTTCATTTCCATACAAATCTACTAAAGCTAGTGGTATAACTGAGAATTGTAGTTGATTGCTCTCAGGATACAGGATTTAGAAGAGGAAATTACCCTGTTTTTTTCATTAGTATTTTCTGACAGCAGAAGTATCTTGGAACTTAACAGTCATACTGGAAAGGAATGTGTTGAAGTAGTGGCAGACTTTATTTCATCCTGGCTTGAGCACTGCAGTCTTGTCTGTCTCTTCACTCCCCTTGTCCTTTTCCACACTACACCAGTATCCATAAGGGAACATAAGCTTTCATGGATGATACAAGATAAATTAAGGCTTTGCTGTCAATAAAGTAAGCAGTTCTAGCTTTTTAGCCTCTGTTTACGTGTACCATCTGTTCCTGTGTTGGTGTATGTAGTCTTGAAACCACATGGCAAATAAGTTCAACGTAGTCATTTGGTTGAAAAAGTAATTGAGGGGGAGGGGAACCCAGCCTTGCCCCCCCATCCGCCACCCCCCCCTTTCAAATTTAATGTTTTTTATTTCACTTGTCCTGCAATGTCACAGTGTGTGTTGCTGATCTAAGGAAATAAATATGTGGCCTGAGTGGGGCTGATGTTGACAGTGTCTGTTTTGACAGCAACCTCCTCTTAGATGGGCTTAATCTGATTATGTGATCTCCCTTTATGGCTGGTTTTCTCAATCCCCTTGTTAAGGTAGTTCTTGTTTCTTACTCTAAATCCTAATCCCCTCTTTTCATATCTAGATTCAGGCTTTTCCCAACTAGCCCTTTATTCTTCAGTCTACTAGCTGCTCTTAGAATCTTGATTCCTACATCTTCCTTCCCTTTCCCTCCATTCTTGACCAGCTAAATCTGTTCTCCTTTTGTATTGTTTGTTCTTTTCAGCCTCCCTACTAGTTTCTGTTTCCTTCTTTTGCCTCCTTGTCCCAGTCTTGCCAAGTCCATTGTCTAGCTCTGTTCTGTTTTCTCTACTGGCCTGGATTTTTTCCTGTTCAGCTTTCTAATTTTTTTGGCTTAATTTTTCATAATGCCTGACAGAAAAGGGTCTTTAAAAGCACCAGAGTTAAAAACTTGGCATTCAGTTTTAATTCCCAAGCCCATCCTTCTCTGGAAGAAAACAGAGGAATGCTAGAACACTTGAGCAACGTGTTTTTAAAAGAAGCAAAATTCAGTTTATTGCAGCAGTACCTGGTTGAAAATAGATAATACCTATTTTTAAAATGTACCATCCCTTAAATATATTGTAACAATAAGATATGTATGCAAATGGAGTCACAATATTTAGTCTTCTGTTTTCGTATTTTACTTGAGTCCCCTTTGTGCCGGTTATAACTTATGTTGTATTTCATTAATGTTGAGGACTGGAATAGCTATGAAGTCTTGTTGCCAGTCTTTTTTTTTCCTTTTTTTTTTTTTTGATACCCTGTTAATTTTTGGGTTAATTAACTATTGCATAGATTATTTAATCGAATAGGAGGAGATTTTAGACATTTTGAAAACTACTCCTACTTTTTACTAACTAATTAGTATTTATAAGTCACTGTGAAGGATTTTTGAAATGTCTGCATTACATTAAACACTGCATTGGCTAGGTATTTTGTAAGTGAGGGGGAACATGAATTCTTCCCGCAGCTGTAAGTGCCATTCTTTGGTTTTATATGCTAATACAAGAAGTCTTGCATGCTGCAGTGAGTTGAAATAGATTTCCTCTCTTAAAATAACTGAAGGAGCATATTAAAGGAGCCTTAAATACTTCTACAATAGTTAAGTTTCGTATATATTTTTATGTTTCATTGGTGTTATTTTGTAAAAGTGAAATGGTGTTTGGATGAAGGGCATGTGATTTTAACCTGACACAGTTACTCTGTCCGAGTATGCTTTTTGCTGGTTTTGGATGACTTCTCTGTTACATGGATGTTGGCTTTGGAGATGGGTGTTTTCTACTCCTAGTGGATTTTTTAAAATCTGGTGACATTTTGTAATGCTAAATTCATTCCAAAGTAAAAAAAAAAAAAAAAGGCTTAAATTTTAACATGCACTCTCTTAGTGCCTTAGTATTTTATACCAAGCTTCCTTTGTATTTTAGCATTTGTTGTAGTTGGCTTCAGCATTAGGAATTAGGGTAACTTAGGCTAATTAGGAATTATTTTTTATGGGTAGTTTAAGTGCTATGAGACAGTTAACTGAAATGCTTCTTATGCAGTCTCTTTCTCCCATGCCAATTCAAAAAAAATCTGTTATATATGTCTGTTCATGCCAACACAGATTTTCCCCTTTCTAAACACTAAATCTAGTTTTCTATCTTAAATTTAGCCAGCACTATAGCTGTACATGGGGGAAGTATATACTCGGGTATAATTCATAGACTAACTTTTACATTTGAAATGGATTGGTTTTTTGAAGTCGTAAGGCAAAACTATCTCTCTGCTTGGTGGTCTAGCCTCGAAAATTTTCATGTGCTTTATTGCCTAAAGGTGAATCTGAGAGGAAAGAAAAATGTAGAAACAAACTAAAGACATAATGCTAAAACAAGGTCACAAGGTTTGTGATAGTCTTTTAAATTGCATAGAAGTGGATACTCATCAACATTGCCAAGTTTTTTAAAAAGAATTTTAGGTATGTAGTTTTGTAATAAAGGTTTGTGTTGCCCTCTTCTACGTATGTAGATTTACAAAGCATGCTGTAGTATTGTGTGAAGTCATGTTCACTGGGCGGTGAGATGTGGGCAGTCATTACTTAGTCTTGATTTTACTGTAGTATGTGTAGATTTTTTATATATATAACTATGCATTGTGGTTAAAAAAACTGTCCAGAACATAGAGCTAGTCAGCTATTGTAAATCAGTATGTGTCTACGTCCTTCCAGGATGTGTGTGCTGCCAGCATTTTTTTTCATCTTGGCCTGATTTTGTTGGCAGTTGTGACTACTGTGGTAACTTTGTTTAATTATGCTGTTCTTTCCAGGCTGGGATAAAACTTGTTTGGGTTTTCTTTTGCATTTTCAATATCTGAATTAAGTTCATGTATTTTTCCAGTTTATGTTTGTGTAACATGTTAAGGGTTGCCATTCCTTTATATTAAATAGAGCTGGATCCAAGGCACAATTCTACGGCTTGGATGGCTGAAGTGACTTGGTAATACCCTGTTGCAACAATTCTATTAATGGCCTCATGCTTCTGCTCTCAGCTGTTTTGAAAATCCAGAAAGAATAGCTAATCTCAAACAGAAAGCATGTTAAAAGTAAAATTTACATGTAGAATTTAGATCCTCTGTAACTTTCTGAAGTATTCTCAAATGTAAGTCGGGTATCTTCCTCAGTCAAGTTTTGTAAACTTGTAAAATCCTGTATTGTAATTGAAATAAGTTGTCCTAGTTTCAAAGCAGTACTTGCCAGGTGTGTTTTGACAATGGTTAATAGTCTGTTTCATTTGACTGTGGCTTCATATTGACAATGACACGAAGCTGTTCACCCTTATGTTTAAAGAATCATGTTGCTTCAGGTATTCTGACACTTATCTTTTGTGGAATTTTGCATTCTTGGCATTCTTGCCTCATTTCTTTAGTAAAATTGCACACTCTTTACAAGTGTTTTTCCTCCCTCCCTCTGACAATACTGGATGGATGTTTGTCTGTTTCGCAGTTTCTGTCATCTTTTATTGTCTCCTTTCCTTTCTCTGACCTGGTCCTTACCTTACTAGAATTTTGAAGAATAAGTCTATTTTTTCTGTTGTGTTTTTCTTCAAATGAAACCCTTCTAGTACAAACTATTTTCCCCCACCTCCCCCCTTAACTCCTGAAATACTAGGGCCTGAGCAGTGAG